GTCCCACTGTTGGGTATCTGCAGTATCCATGGCCTTTCGGTGTAAGATTAACCAGCGCGCTTCTTGCCACCGGTTTTTGGCAGCTCTGCGAACCAAGTGATGTAGTTTGTCACTTTGGTCCTTGATCCACGACTTTGTATCAAAAGTGGGAGTTAGTGGAATTTCCAACTGCTTTTGTTCAAGGAGTCGAATCAAGCAAGACCTGAAAAGTGAGACTGTCCACAACCTTTTCAAATTCACCTTCTCGAAGTTCGCTGCAATGTCCAAGATGTTGTTGCAGACTTTCCTGTTTTGGGCATTTCGGAGATGACGGTGTTTGAAGATTTGACCAGTTTTTCTCAACCACTCCCCATCGTCTGATTCTATGTATCCATCATAGATAGCAGTTGCAAGTTTATCCACCAACACTGGGCGGAAATGTGAATCGCCACTCTCAACTGACATGCTGCCCTGGAGCCAAGGTTGAGCGGCGATCGATATCCCATCAGCGAGCTTGCATTTGAGACTTGAAACTTGAACATCTCAATCCAGCAAACTTTGTCAAAAATTGTGTTGACCCCGGAAAAATGGGTTTAGTGGCCCACCGTTTGAATAACTGAGCAGTCTCTCATGCAAATCGAAAGCTCTTGTGAGTGGCGACATCTCATCAAGGCGAGATGTGAAAATAAACAGGGTCGATACTTCCTAAACTGTGTTTTGAAACTGTTACCACAAAGATGCGTTTACTCAGCAAAGTGTTTCATATTCACAGAGCAAGTGCAAACTTGAACCTTCCTTGCATGGGAGCGCAATTCCAGTTGTGAATGAGTTGATATATATATATATATACACTTGTAGTTATATTGTTGGTGTAATATTTTATGATGGATACTACCTTAAGAATAGCCAGCAACAACCATCACTGCGCTCCCCAGTCTCTCACACTCAAATCCGCCAGAACACATTGTTCATGCGCGTGTTGGGCAGCTGTGTGCTGCGAACTCAAATTAATGTGAAAGATGTGAACGCGAAAAAATGACAAATGTGGTAGGATTTTTGTTTCCTGTTTCTGGCATTGAAAGGCACACATTGCTGTCAGCACACACTTGGCAAATCGAAGTTTCTGCGTGTGGATGGAAAAAATGGTCCGCTCAAACACCGAAAGCTGAGAGGCAAGAGCACACAGTGAAGAAAACTTGTTTTTTTTGTTGTTTTCACGTTTGGGTTGCTGGCATTTAAAGCAGGAGCAGGTTTCTGGCACTGACGCAAAAAAATTGGACAAGTTTCAAGAACTGGCAAAAAAAACGGGAACAGGATTTTGGAATTTTGAAAACGGCAAAGATATAGCAAGTTTCACGCTTGAAATTTCATAGGGGGTACGAAAAAGACAGTGAAATATGCACAAATCATGCCAAATTGACATGTCCACAGCTCAAAGTGACATATCTTGAGCCAAAGAACATAGCTTCTGGGCCCAGATCATACAAAAACAGCACTGTCCCTAGAGCAGTATAGGCCTGGCACGAATTATGAATCCGTTTGCAATGCCTCTCAAGTTATGAGGCCGTTTGAGGTTATGAGTCCGTTTAGGCCGTCTTGGCAATGTCACCAGCTCCGGCATCGGTTTCTCCTGAAGTCTGTTCTTCTCGAGGGCCCCGCGCCGTAGGCGTCGTGGTCTCCTCATCAGGTTCGTCAACTTCACCCTCCTCCTCATCGCTTGATGAGACCTCAATCATTTCAGGGTGGTCATCGTAGTTGGCTTCTGGGAGCACCGGCATTCTGGTGATCTTCTTCTGCATGAGTAGGTCGAAGATTCCCGCGTCTTTCAGGATCGTTATCACCATGTTGTTCTCGACCGGCGGGATGTATGCTTTCCTGGATCGGTTTCGCTTTGTGTTGATGGTGTCGGTAGGTCGACATGAACTGCTGAATAGCCAAAACGACTCTTCCAGCCCTGCGAGGCAACTGTCAAGGTTTGCCCCCCATCCAGCGAACATAGTAGGGAATTGAATACCCAGGTCAAGCATTCCAAGCCAGAATTCGAAAATGTCGCCGACATATTCAGCTGTTGCGGTTGGATTGATCATTGACGCGATCTCCTCCTTGGTCAGCACGGTCTTCATGTAGTCATGATAAGCGACGTTTCCACCATCCCAAAGCAGTCTGTAAAACCATCGCATTCGGTGCATTCCGCCTCCGCAATCCTCTGTTCGAGTTTCACGTTGTACAGTGAATTGGGGTAACAGGTCTCGTCTGCATTTCCCTTTCACCATGTATGCAGGCATTCGGATGGCACCTCGATGTGATACCTGCTTGAGCACATCGCTTGTCGTCCTGTATCCTGAAAGCATTGCAAGTGTCGCAGTGACCAGGAATCCACGGAGATCCTTCTCGGCTTCCATTTCTCTCCAGTCAACGCACTCATTGTAGATGTTGAGCAATCTTGCAGCTACTCTTGCATCCTGTGAGAATTCATCCATCCCAATGTCTTCAGTACCGTAGATTGCCGCTCTCGTCCAGTTGCTTGCGCAATTCAGGCATCTTGTGCGGTTCTCTGTGCAGGTATTCAATCTCGAATCATTTTTATGAAATCCTTTGCACACATCGCACATCAATTCGGAATCTTCGGTTACCTCGACCCAATGCTCATCCACATCTGTCAGGGGCTCCGGGGTAAATACTCCTCGTCGGATGTCTGACCATGCTCTCCTCTGGACCGCATCCTTCATATGCTTCATTCCTCCAATGATGTTTGCTGATCCAGCTTGAGCATCTGTGACCTCTCCAGCACGAATGCTGGGAATAATTCGTGGATGTTCTGTGCATCGTTTGATGGTTTCAATGTCAAATCCGGTGTTCTTCACATGGACGCATTCTTCATTCAGGTCATGGACTGTATCATGATCCATCGCACAATGTAAGAAGACTTTCTGTCGCATCAGTGACTTTTCAAGCATAGCCCAAATGACTTCCTTGCCTTCACCTTCTTTCCAATAAAAAGGCTCACGTCCACAAGCATATATCTGTTTCCAGAATCTTTCATTGGTGGAGTGAATAATGCCCTTTTCCTTCAATATTCTTGCAAGCTCCTCGGCCATGGATACAATCGAAGATTGGGACCCAAGAAACCGGGCATCTCTCAGAATGTTGACGAAAATTGGAAGATGTGCTGCTTGGCTGATCTCAGTGATGATCTCCGCCAATTTGGTGATGAAGTCTGTATTTGGCATCAGTATGCGAGTTTGTCCTCTGAAAAGTGCTGCGAAAGAGATCCAAATATGAACAGTGGCACTTGAGAACGCGTTGGCGTTGGATCGTAGGAATGTCAATGCATTCGTTGCCAGTTTCAAGAAATCCTCGGGTTTCTCCAGAGATTCATAGGGAAGTTGGTACACCTTGATGGATGAAAGACCCATGTTGTCGAGCCCAGCCTCGATGTCATTGACGATTCTCGAGCTAGATCTCGTTTGGTAAGTCAAATCCGTCAAGATGAGAGCTTTGTTGTTTCTCACTTGTCCTCCCAATTCATCCCATTTGTCTAACCAAGGCTCCCCGATGATGAACTGTCCAATCTTGTTTCCCAACTTCTTGAGCTTGGCTCGAATCTCGCCCTCCACCGTATCTTCAATGCCCAATGTCAACATGGCTAGGACCTCCGTCACCGGATATCCTTTGCACCTGACAAAGTCTGTGGTTGTGATGATGTAGTGGTAGAGCTTCAGCCATTCGTAGTCACTTTCATTGATCATGTGGGAATCAAGTTGACCTTCTGTCAGCATGTTGAAAGACAGGGCAGCATGAAATGTCAATCTTCTCAAGTACTGCTTCCAGATCAAATTGGATCCATACTTGTGAGTAGTATGAGGACCCTCTACGATGGAGAGCACAAAATCCTTGCCGGATCGCAGGAATGCAATTCGCTGTTCCTCACGAGCATAGTCCTCGGCAGCATGGAGACGCACTTCCACGGTTGAAGGTTTCCTTCTCTTCATCCAGTCTTCAGTTGGAATCCAATTCTCATCTCTTTCTGGTTCAGCACGACCTTGAGATGTTGCTCCAGGTCCAGATCGGAAAGCTGCATGGGTCGACGAAGATGAGGCTCCGCCAGTCGATGACCTTGGCATCTTCTTCGGTTGAATGTTCGAACTTTGTGATTGTTGCGATGCCTTTGGTTGTGATCCCTCCGTACCCAAACTCTCGCCGAGCAATTTTTTTCAATAGATCTATTGAAAAAGAAGGAAAAATCAGTAGCGATTGAAAACAGCATTTTCCAAGTTAAAATCAATAGAAATGTCATTTTGGTATATAGATTTCTATTGATTTTTGAGGCACTTTTCTATTGATTTTTTATTGGTGTTTCTATTGATTTTTAACAAAATTCCTATTGATTTTTTCTCTGAATTTAAGTTAAATTCCTATTGATTTTGGCTTTGAATTTAGGTCAAATTCCTATTGATTTTTGCTTTGAATTTGGTTCAAATTCCTATTGATTTTTGCATTGATTTTAGGTCAAATTCCTATTGATCTTTTCTTTGAATTTAATTGACGTCTATTTATTTCTATTGAATTTCAAAAGTAAACATCTATTGAGTGGTAAGCCGTGAATCCTGTTGATTTTTCACCATTTCAGAATTACATCTCCTTTTCTGTTTTCTCTCGCGTGCTTTTTTCACAAAATAGAGAAGCTGGGTGTTTGAAACTTAAAACATATATACGCTTACAGACGAAATATACTAACTTCAAGACTATGCAGCAGTCAGATTGCCAAGTAAACGGGAAAGACAACTTCACTGATGGCTGGATAGCCAAATTATGGCATGGATGGCTGCATAGCCAAGTCCAGTGATGGCTGGATAGCCAAGTCCATTGATGGCTGGATAGCCAAGTCCATCGATGGCTGGATAGCCAATATGTGTTGCAGAAAAGCCATGCGGGTGATCAGCAGGTGTATATTAGGCCCAAAAATGCCCAAAGCGAAGAAAAGTAGGCGGTCAAAATGCCCACCGGTCGACACGGGGCACATGGATGAGCTGCTGCAAAGTTATGTGAAAAAGAAGGGTATAGCTGCTTCCTTCGAGTTGGGCCGCTACAGTGCCCTGCAGACACAGAATGCTATCAATGGCTCTGCGCTGTCGAAGCTGAAAGAGTTGGTAGGTGTCTTGATGAAGTTGGAGACGGGCCTGCACTTCAAGTTTTCAGACTTGAAGGGGTCCTTGCGGAGGTGCTGCCTACAGTTTCCGGAGTTGAGGTACAAGATGGAGGAAAGCAAGAGGTGTGACTATGAGGGAACCATGGCTTCTGCCTTGCTTTGTGTCTGTGCGCATACCAGGCGCCTGAAAGACTCAACAAGGTTCCGGGAGGCTTGCTCAAAGTGCACAGACGACGAAAAGAAAGAGCTCTTGGAGATGAAGAAGTGGCTTAGTGGAGAAGAAAGCGAAGGAGAGGACCAAGTAACTTGGCCAAATGGATTTGTATGCGCGGGGCCCTTCAGGAAATAGGAGCTTGTTTTTTGGGTGGGTTGTTTTTTCTGCTGATCTCGAGGAATCTGTGGCTGGTTCCATAGAGCTTCCAAGCTTGCCAGCAACACCTTTGATGGCAACACCGAAGAAGAGAAAGGCAGTGGCATCGGCCACGCCAGAAGAGAAAGGACAGCCTGACTTGGATGAGGAAGCAGAAATGGCGACCCCACTGCCTTCCAGAAAGGCAAAGCTGAAGGAGAAAGTCCTGAAGAGGCCTGCAGCTGTTTCACCGCAAAAGAAACCAGCAGCTAAGAAGGTTGAGAAAAAGATGGAAGGCAAGAAGAGCTGGGTTCTGATGTACTACAAGAGAAGCAAGGTCAGAAAGAGTGATGCATGGGCGGTTCGCCAGTGTGGGGGCTCGCAATTGTTTCAAATGGTGTGTTCAAAAGACAAGAATGCGGAAGGCATTTGCAAGCAGGCTGTGAAAAAGTTGGAAGATGGAGATTCGCCTAGGAAAGTCAAAGAATGGGCAAAGGCTCAGTAAGAGCGAAGCATGGCCCCACGCAGAAAAAGTTTGCAGTGACTGAAGCATGTATGATGGCTGGATAGCCAACTTTTGCAAATTCGTTTCTCTCTTGCTTTGATGGCTGGATAGCCAAGCGTAGGGATCCATTGCCCAAAAAGGGTGATCACTGTGCATCTGCACTCATTTCCAAAACGCTGTGGGTGGCTGGAGGGAAGCCAAAACGCAAGCGTGAGTGGATGGCTGGATAGCCAATCTTGTGACAACTTACAATTGGCATTGCACCGAGCGGACGGGTTCAAGCAGGAGCTGCCGAAGGAAAGCCATGGCGCACCGAATGGATAGCGTGCCTGCAGAAGATGCGCATCGTATAGATGCCGCCGCCACGCGTGTGGTCCCAGGGGGAGGAGGCTGGCTGAACCGGTTTCGTTGTAAAAATAGATGGCTGGATAGCCAGGTCAATAGATGGCTGGATAGCCAGGGCACAGATGGCAAAGCAGCAGTCTGAGGATGTAAAGTAAGGCTGGATAGCCTGGACAGAAACTGGGAGCGATATGAAAATGGTAGCCGGAGAGCTAGACAAAAATGCGCCAGGGAAAAAAGACAAAAAAGAAGCAAAATTCACATGAAGACGCATGAAAACCCATGAAGACCCATGAAGACCCATGAAGACCCATGAAGACCCATGAAGACCCATGAAGACCCATGAATTCACATGAATTTCCATGAATTTCTATGAATTCCCTTGATTTCCAATGGAAACCTGTGATCTTCAAAAAAAACCTGTTTGTTTCAGGGAAAATTTGATGGCTGGATAGCCACTTCTGCTCGATGATGGCTGGATAGCCACTTCGTTTCTGTCCTTGATGGCTGGATAGCCACTCTTCTGTTGCTTTGATGGCTGGATAGCCATGTTGGGGTCTGCTGTCCTTGTCAGATTGACTAGCAATGGTACAGCATATTCTGAAGGATTTTGGTGCCCAAGGCGTTCCAGCCACTGCCTCCTTCTATAATCAGCCATGGCAGCCCAGTCGACTTTGAAGAAGCCTGCTGCCCAACAGAAAGCCGGTATGAAAAGGCCTGCAGCTCATGAGAAAGAGGAAAAGCCGCCAAAGACCCACAAGAAAAATGGAAAGGACAAAGAAGAGGAGGAAGAAGATGATGAGATTGTGGAACCGCTACCTCTCACCGAGGAGGCGCTGCAGAGCCACAACAAGTTCCTCTCTGAAATGTCAAAACACAAGGACATGAGCCAGACGCAATTTGACAAGACATTGGCCACCTTACCGAGTCGCACAGCTGAGAGGTTGTGGAAGGCCTTTGAGGCGTGCAGAAAAGAGACAGGGAGTGATGGACAGTACAAAGAAGCATCCAGCGGCTGTGGCCAGCAGAAAAAGAAAAGAGCGCTTCTGAGAGGATGGTGCATGGACAAGGGAAAGATTGGAGACTGCTACAGAAAAATGCTAACCACAGTCAGAGTCGTTGCAAAGCAAGGAGTAGAAGAGAAGTGGATTACCAAAGCTGAGGCCCTTCCAGAAATGGGGGGCAGAGGAACTGAAGGATCGACTGCAGAAAGGCACCATCAAAGCTCGCCGCAATCCCTTGGACAGGGACTACTGGGAGTTCCAAGCCATTGTTGAGAAGAAGTCCAATATGGCAGAGAAGGACCGAGAAACCCAGTATGGATCTGCATGGCAGAAGGCCTGAAGCTGTCCGTGAGGTGCAAGGTATATCTAATCATTAATTGACCCTAAACTGACGTGCGCGGACTCGCTCAAGGAATTAGGTAAACCCGAAATTGACGATTGGATGGCTGGATAGCCAGTGCCTTTGTGACAGCCACTGCCCAATACCTACTGTGCCTTGCTTTTCTGCTTTGGCTAGGTTGACCACAAGAAGATGGCGGCGATTGAAGCTGTGGCTGTAGACGAGGTGCACTCCAGCGACATGGAGATGGGACATTCTTGCTGGCTGGATAGCCATGTTTTTCATCTTTGATGGCTGGATAGCCATGTTTTTCATCTTTGATGGCTGGATAGCCAGGACACAAGCATCTACATCTCATCTGTCTGCAGGTTGTGTGAACAGTTTGAAACGACGAAGTATGGAGAGCACAGACTGAAGATGATTACAGCCTTGGACGACATGCTGCAGCTGATGGACATGAAGCTCTACAGATTTCCCGCTGCTTTGCGGGACAAGTTCGCCCAGAAGGTCCACAGCTTCCTGCTGCAGTATAGCTACATGGCTAAACTTTCATCTCAGCGAGGGTGCCTGAGATACTCAATGGTGCAAAAGCACCACCTGACCAGCCATCTGAGCTGGTTCACTGAGAGCTGTCACCCCCGCTGCTTTTGGACTTATGGCAGTGAAAGTTACATGGGCCACATGGTATGGATCGCAAAAGCATGCGTCCGAGGCCAGTCTCCGCCGAAGGCGGCTGAAAGCATCATGCAGAAGTACAGGCTCAGCATGCACTTAATTCTCAGTGGCTTGATGGTTTTAGACGAGGAAGGAGATGACTGAGAGGCAAGCGAAGGAAAAAAAGCATGCAGGTGCACTATTGATGGCTGGATAGCCATGCTCGTTTCAAGATTGAGGTTTGGGGGTACCCAGAAGTTTTTGCCTCGATGGCTGGATAGCCATGTTGAGACTTGCTTTGCTTTTCGCTGGATATGCATTGGAAATCATGGCTGGATAGCCCACTTAAGCCATCTATTGCTCTCCCAAATCACCTGACAAAATTTTCACCTTTTCAAAACCAATTCATATACATATATATATATATAGATATATAATGTACATATTTATATCTTTATACATAGAATATATCATGCATATAAAAGTAATCTTCTGGACATGTGCTTTGTGTGTGTATTTTTCCTCTTCTTGAAATTGGCATTCTCTCTTCGATCAAAAAACATAATTTTTGAATGCGCAATCCTATTGATTTTTAACGATTTGTTGATGAAATTTCCTATTGAATTTGATGTTTTTTTCTATTGATTTTTCGTACGGATTCCTATTGTTTTTTTTGGTAATTCCTATTGAACTTTCGTGGACGAGATCCTATTGAAAAAAAAGCGAATCGATTGATTTTGACACAAAAATCAATAGCGATTGAAAAATGACTTTCCGACTGAAAAAAATTGAGTGGAGAGAGTTAGGGTAGGAGCGGATGTACTCTGGGCGCTAGGTCCAGTTGATGTGTCATCATTCACCCATGAAGGCTCCTCATTGTTCCAGAAGTCAACTTCGTCGGGTCTTCGTCCATCTTTGAAGTTCAGGGGGATATCCCAGTTGTCGAAATTGTGCATGTTGCCACCTGTTCCAGTTTGAGTATCGGTCATTGATGTTGTAAAATCTTTGAGGGAACTATGGCAAGCATGACGTCTTTCTTTCTCGGTATATCTGGCCCCTTCATCGGCAATCGAGACATTGTATCCATGCCCTATCAGGATTCCCTGTGGAATGTCAAAGACTTTGAGGATCGAGAATTGGAGTTCGGACAGTTCTGCTATTCTCGGCAAATTTCCATCTCCTCGGGCGCTGGTCTTGTGTCTCTCAAGGGTCGTGCCGAGGGCTAACAAACACAAGAAATGGTTCTGGGCTGCACTCCTCCCTTTCGGTTGGTTGGTTTCGAAAGCAACCACATCCTTCATCACATCCTGGAAGATGATCTGATCTGATGGGTTCTGCTCATTGTGATACCTCAATGCATGTCCTAGGTGCCTCATCTGGATTTCAATCATGTGCTTCATTGCCTTCAAATAGCTATCATTGTCAGATGGAGACTTCGGATTCACCTTGGTCAACTCGTCCATGACTTTGAAGTACTCGGCTGTCCTTGTCACAGCTAACCATGATGTGGCACTCGGATCTGTGTTGAATGATGGTGTTCCTCGATAAATTTGTTTCATGTTTCGGATCTTAGCCTCAGTTTCGGCTGCAGTGGCTTGATCATCAAAAGGTTCGGGAAAATGTCCTTTGGACAATACGATCCAGAGCTCATCAAGTCTGTCATAGATCTCTTTGTCCATGAAGCGTCCCACAGTTGCATCATCATATGGGCACCTGCTAAGACCTTCACGAATCTCGACCCTTTTGACAAAAACTCCCATCCTGAACACCCCTTCTCGATGTCCTGCGCTCTTTGCAACAACTTGTAGGCTACCTCCAGGGCTTGTGCAGTGGCTTCACTGGTGTGTCTGGAGTTCGCGAAGTATGCTGAGTAGACAACTGCAGGCGGCATACCAAACCTAATCCATTGGTTGGCTGTGTCCTCATCTGAGATCAGTCGAAAATTCGAACCTCGGGTGTCTCGGAATGGTGATGGAGTCTTGGCTGCAATGGATCCTTCGGACAATCCCTTCAGCACTCGTAATGCAACGGTGATTCGGCTTCCGGCAAATTGTCCTACTGAGTTCAGATCATGGGTTTCGGCCATCCCGCTTTGTACAGAATAAAGTCGCACGGACCGTAGGTCTCGTGACAACTGTTCGAACAGCGAAAATAGTTGTACGAACCGTAGGTCTCGTAACAACCAGTCGGAGTCGAATTCAGAAAGCGGTCGACACGAAAATGAAAAGTGCCACGAAGAAAGAACCGAAGTTGATGTCAATCTCGAAACGCACCAGTGCAGTAGCGATCGCTCGAACGAATGGTCAATGGCGTCGAGCTCTCGAGTAGCACAAACGGATGTTGCCACCGACTTGATTGGGTGACTGCGGACATTCTCGGAATCACGAGACATTTCAGCTTTCAATTGGTCATCACATGCAAGCGGCTTCCAACGTTTCATCACTCTGACGTTCACAAATGGACTATTCCTGATTACATGATCATTGATTCCATTCATGATTATCTTGGCTATCCATTTAGTGTAAACTTGAGTAATGCGAGTTTCCCTACCGGCACACTCAGCATGGTCATGACGGCGATCACATCTTCTATGAAGCTTTGGAAAAGACACCCCCCACGTAACAATCTTCCATGGTTTCTTGATTGGTTTGGGAGTTTCTTGGAACTGTGATTTCAAGCCATACATGCATCCATCAAATTTGTGTTCATGAGATACGGTTCCTTCCACAAGTTCAGTCATTCTACGGTCCTTCCAGTAGTCACAACCTCTAGGCAATTCAAGCAAGGCTGGTGATCCCATATTGATAAGCTCACTTAGCACTGATGCAAACACTTCCCACATCGCCCAGAAGATCTGCTTCTTTGCTTCGATGAGTTGTGTTGTTGCTTCGCTCACCCATCGGTTGATTCGGTTCCATGGTGAACCTCCTGTACATGGACCTGCAAAGAACATTGAATCAAGTTTGGTCCGAAGGCATCGCCTTGCTTTACTGATTCCGTACGGAGAGAGCATGTCGTCATCTTCAGTGATTGGCACGACATGAAACTTCATTTCGTCCTTCATTTTGTTCTGCAAGAACGTAAACCAGTTTCTCTCTTCCGAACATAACAAGACGAAGCATGGGACTGCTTGAGGAACTTCGATCAAATTGATTGCAAGGGAAAACTTCGCATACTTTGATGTCATCATGTCACAAGGTGATTTGGAAAATTGAAATTCCAAAGTTCTGTTTTTCTTCTCTCTCCAAAGGATTACCGACACTTTGGGATGGTCAACCTCATGTTTGCTTACTTCAATGTGATATTGATAGGGGACAAAAACGTCAGTGATGGGAATAGTTTTCACGTCATTGCAATTGGTGCATAGCGTGATTACTCCCTGACTCACCTTACAGTTCTTACCTCCATCGATCACTTCAGCATTGGCGAGCACCTTGAATGTCGATTTTCCAGTCCAAAATTCATTCAACTTGTTTGTTGATTCATGATTGTCGCCCTTGAATCTCCATATGTCTTTGATCACTCGAGTATCAGTTTTGAACTTTTGTTCAGTTTCCCTCTCATCACATATGATCCTACCCTGAGTCTGCTTTTTTAGTAAATTTAGTTTTTCTGCGAATTTAGTTTAGTTGATAAATTTAGTTTAGTTTTGACACGTTTTTACAACTAAACTAAATTGGAGTGAAATCATGAAACTGCATCAAAACTGCATCAAAACTGCGTCAAAACTGCATCATATCATTTTTTGCTTTTTTGTCGTTTTTTGTTTTTTAATACTTAACTACAACCATTTTATGACAGCCAAAAATGAATCCTTTGTGGGCAGCATTTCTTTCAAGACTTTCAATGGAAGTGTTCTCACATTGTGAATGGAGATTTGGTTATATGGGTACAAAAAGAATCAATGAATTTCACAAGTAATGAAACCAAATAATTAAAACATTTGTCATGTGTGACTACAGGCATACTTCAAGTAATAATTGTTACTTGTGAGACCATGTGGGTGACTTGTTACTTGTGTTTAGCTCAGGTAATGAACTTGCCAAGCATTACTTGTGTTACTTGTCACCTGAAACACCTCACAGGGATTACTTATGTTACTTGTGACCAAGTATATTTTGAAAACATACCATTCTCAAGCACATCAGCATCTTACCTTGTGAGTAGATGTGTGTAATTGTGTGGAAAGGATATATTGAAAACAAATTGAGGAATTAAATTTGAAGCCACAAGTGACTCTCAGGTAACTCAAATATGTTGATCTCAAGTAACTCAAGTATGTTGGAATCATTACAACAGTCATGAAAACATGAACTGGACATGTTGTCTCAGGTAAAGTCTACTGACACAGTTGAGATGTTGATCAAGCAGAAGAGTGAATGTGACAAAGGATGCGCATCATGAGGAGAATGAGATTACATGATGTCCATGGCAATTACATGTGTTACATGTGGGAAACAGTATCTATCCACAAACAAACATCTTGTGAGAACACTGTCAGTGGCTGTGTTGAATGCATCATCATGACATGTCTCTGAAATTGTGAAATAAAATCACTGAACATGAGGTCAAATTCTCATGGATATTTTATATTTTTTTGATGAATTGCTGATGATTTTTTGATGAAGTTTTGATGCAGTTTTGATGCAGTTTTGAAACTGCATCAAAATGATGCAGTTTTGATGCAGTTTCATATGGAAAGTGATGCAGTTTTGATGCAGTTTCAAAACTGCATCAAAACTGCATCAAAACTACATCAGAACTGCATCAAAACTGCATCATGTTTTTTGATAAATTTTCACATTTTTTCATGAAAAAAAGTGAAAATTTCAAGACCAAATGATTGATTGGATATCAGAATTTAGACCTCAAGTAAGTTGACTTCATGTCATCATTGTTCCCAAGTATCATCAGCACTAGTCTCATGTAATGCCACAAGTAAAAACTCTAGTGCACTTAACAGGAAACAAGTCACCAGTAAAAGTAAAAAGTGTTTGTCAGTAAAGTCATTGCTTTACATTCTCAAGTGATGCTTGAACCAATTCACCTTTTGTCAACACCTTGTTCATTTTTATTTATATATATATATCAGATATATCACATGTGTCAACTACAAACATGCAGTGAACCAATCACAGATAAGAAACCTGAAGCTCCCTGGGTCG